AACTTTGAATCAACAATCGTCGAAATAGATCAAACGGATGAATCTTCTTTAATACCATCATCATCATCACGTTACTTACCTGGCATGACAATGATGGTTTGTCTCGGTGCTATAATTTTTGTTCTTTGGGTTCACTTCTTCATTATTATTTTCGCACCAAAAAAACATACATAAAATGAAATTTAACTGTATTTTTTTGTCACATTTTACTACGCATATTATATTAATTTAAAACAAAAGCTTCGAAAATTTTAAGAATAAAAAAAAGAAGCAATAAAACTTTCATTTCAAAAGAATATTTGTCGAATAGTAGCACAAGAACTGAGAAACAATCACTTCACTAATCTTTGATGGGCGTTAATAAAAAATAAAAATAAAGAACGAAATTATTAAATAACGAAGAGATAATCAATAAAGAATCTGTTAATGAATTACAAATAGATGAAAAGAATAATTTTAAGTTTTATTTAACCTTTTCAAGACGGGAGACTTAAATAGGTATTTCCCGTCCCGAAAACAGTCACAGTTGAAAATCATAATTAAATAAAAATTTATCGTTAAACCTGTCAAGACGGGATTCTTTTTCACAAAGCATAATAATGAAACATGAAATAAACTAAAATGAATTAATTTTCATTTCTAATCAATGCTAATTGATTCTTTTAAAGATTCCTACGGAATATATATATGTCGCTCGTGTCAACTCAGAGAGCAATGTACCAGGAGTATACTAATTCCAATGCCAACTCTTGGCTTGGAATTGATGCATCCCTAAGTAGTAAACATTAATAGATTCAATAGAATCAATGTCTCATATAGCATTGATAATTTTCTAACAGTAAAGTTATGGTAAATCAAGTATTCGTCTCGGATTACCTTGAACAATCATACTTAAAGTACATCTAAAATAATACGTAATTAATTCATTTGTATTACGAAAGAAAAACAACTAACACAACTTTTTAGATAGATTTATTCTATTCGGATATATGTTTATCGGTATTGTAGATATCTCTAAAGATTACTCTATTGATCAAATGAAATAGCTCTTAAAAAAAAAAAAACGTTTTTCTATTGTTTAATCATATTCAGATTTATAAGATTTTTTTTTTTTGTTCAAATTAAATCTGTACCTGTAATTGACATGCAGGTAAATTAACATCAGTAATCATTTCTGTACAAGGATGTTCAACTTGTAATCGAGGATTAAGTTCAAGAAAGCAGAATGTTTCATCATTTGGATTATATAAATATTCAACTGTACCAGCACTAATTTTTGTTTTTTTTTTAAGAAACAAAAAAAGTTTATTTCATAAATTTAATTATTTAAAATATAAACTAACCTAGCATAACCAACCATTTTTGCTAAACGTACAGCTGCTTTTTCCATCTGTTCAAGAATTTCAGGTGGTGCTATAACAGCTGGTGCTTCTTCAATAATTTTTTGATGACGTCTTTGTATTGAACAATCACGACCAAATAATGATATAGCTTGTCCACTTTGATCAGCAAGAATTTGTACTTCCAAATGTCGACAACTATCAGCATATTTCATTAAAAATATAGGTGAACCTCGTACTTCAGTTTGAACCTAATTTATTTATTAAATTATTAATTTAAAAAGTAAATTAAAAAAGATTTTTATTTTTTTTTTGTTTTACTTGTCGAAAAAGATTTTCAAAATCATCTCGACTTATAGATTTTCGTATTCCTTTACCGCCACCACCTTCTGAAGCTTTAATCATTACAGGAAAACCAATTCGAGTTGCAATCTAATATAACAAAATTATGTTTTTCATTTCTTTTTTGTGTATTTTTTATTTATCAAATAAAAATCTATTATAGAAAGAATCTTACCTCTAAACCTTTCTTTGGATCAGTAACACATGCTTGATCATATAAATCCATTGGAACATTAATAACTTCACTATCATCTTCATTGTATGTAATTTTAAGATCTAAATATAAATATTCAAATTAATTTTTAATTTTCTTGTCTATTTAATTATGACAAAAAAGAAAACATTTTTCGACATCTTTTTCTTCTTGTGTATAGTGCACGATTTTACTTGTTCTTTTGTTTAGTTAACAGTTCTTCATACTTACGAGATCCACTCCATGGTAATGTTGGTACATTGGCACTTTGAGCAATAATAGTCGAAGCTATTTTATCTCCTATACAATTATATTAGATAATATAAAAAAAACAAAAACAAACAAGTGTTCAATCAAAAATCTTACCCAATGCCCACATAGCTTGTTCTGATGGACCTGTGTTAATAATAAAAAGATTTGAGACATATAATGTCGAAAATTAAAAAAACAATTAGTTACCAATAAATATAATATCATTACGATGAAGTAATTCTGGTAGTTTAGGATTTTCTGATGCATGGCCCCATCCAGCCCAAACAGCTAGAATAGAATTTCTTCGACAAGAAAATAAAAATCAATCAAACAAACCTTCTACAGGAAAACGTTTTGCAATATCAACTATAAGTTCACAATTCGAATAATTCATATGTGATGGACCACCTTGTACATTGACATAATGATCTGCATATCGAATATATTCTATATGAAAAGAAAAAAAAAAGACAAGATAAAACAATTGAGAAAACATTTAAAACAAAAATCAACCAGCATTCGCCTGCATATCTTCTGGTGTAACCATAGCAACAAATTTAATAGTATTTTCTTGACGAAACATTTCATAAGACCAACGTCGAATTGAACGCATACATTTAACAGCTGCAATACCATTATTTGCTATAAGAATCTGAAAAAAAATTTTTTTTGATTAATTTTAATTCAATAGATTCAAAAAATAATCAATGACTTTGTTAATCACACGATTTCCACCTAAGAAATCACACAGTCCTTTAGGTGTTGATACTGTAGTTAGTGGTCGCAAAGATCCTGATGAACCAAAAGAAACACCAGACATGTTTCTAAATATAAAAAAAATTATACAGAAATTATTACGACTGATATTTATTACTCTTATTAATTATCGATTGACATCGTAATATATATGGCTTTTATCCCCCTCATTTTGCTTTTCTTTTCGTGTGATGTATGTGTGGGTGAGTATATTGAAATTATGTTTTCCACTTACCGTGAATGTTGATTTAATGTTGATTTATTTTCACCATTTGTATCACTATTCGTTAATGTTCTTGCATTTGTCATTGAACTATTCGTAGTTTTATTTGTTGTTGATTCAATTGATGAATATGATGAAGGTTTTGATGGTGTTGAAAAAGCAACTAATTCATCAACTTCAACCATTCTGTCATAATCATCAATACGATGTGACTCGTCAAGATCAAATTTAACATGAGATGATTGTAAATTTTGTTGATCTGCCACTTTTGAATCCAAATTTTTTTCTTCACAATTGGTACTCATGTGAAGCAGAAAAGAAACTAAATAAGCTAGTGAATAATCAAAATCTAGAAATACGCAATATAGCAGATGTTCGATAGAAGAAAAAAAGCAGATATACGAACACATCCGTCTAAACACCTTTATATATATATATTACTACTAAAATCAGATAAATTTGTTTTTATTCACTTTTAGTATATCCATAATTTTTTTTCGTAGCGTTCTCTACAAAAGCCTATTATGTGCTGCACCAACAAAAGGAAAAATCCCTCACCTATTAAAAATCATTTGTATAAAACAAGTGCATATTATTCATACAACTATAGAGGTCACTTAGTTTATTATTATGTGTGACAAAAAGTCTATTCTCTTTCATATTTTAAGCGCAAAAAACAAATAAGAGACTTCATACAAATTTTTCACTATAAATCTCTCGCTACTATACATTCTCCTAACTAATTGGTTTTTATTAAAAAGAAAAACAAAATATTCTATTTTTAAGCTGAAATAGAAGAAACAAAAGAAGCATTACTAAAAAATGAAATGAAATACAAATATCAAGATGGATTCTGATTAATACGGTATGTATCAAGAACGAATCATATTTAATTATAAACATACATACTTAACTCATACGTTTTGGTTGAATGAGTTAATAAAAGTTATAGCAAAATTAATGCGAAACAAATGAAAACAACCATTTTGAAGGTAATATGTAATGTAGTAGTACAAGCAAGAAACAAAATGACCTAAACAAGAATTGCATGAGAATGACAAGACTTTAACTTGAAAGTTTATAGTTCTAACAATAGTGTCCTATAGAAGTAATTAAAATATTATAAAACTTTTTCAACAAAAAATAAACTTACGAGAGAACTTATCCGGACTTATACCTATCTTTTGATTACATATTGTGTCTACAAGAACATATTGGTGAGACTAACAAAAGTCTAGAAGGATTCGTCTTCATAGATCATTGGAGCCAAGTTATGACCATTTTACTGAATTTTCGCTCTAGTTTTAGATGTTTATCAAAAAAAAACCAAATAACGAAATTTCAATCGAAAAGAATATTCCTTTGTTGAGATATTGAATTTTTAGAACATAATTATTTGCTTCAGAAATTCAGCAAAAATCGAGTTTACTTGAAAATTCAATATTTTGAGAAAGAAACATTCTTTTCGGCTGAAACTTTCAGATCGAAATTCTGTTTTTTGATTTTTTTGACATATACCTAAAACTAGGTTGAAAATTGAGTAAAACAGTCATAATTCGACTCCATGGTCTCATGGGGATGAACCCTTTTAGACTTTTACTCATCGCATCAACCTGCCCTTATATTACAATATTCTCAAATGGTAGTATCAGTTTGGATAGTTCCCTCGTTAATGAAAAAATTTTAAAAAAAGACTGAGAGCAGTATAAAAATGATTCGGATTTATATATATAGAATTTTTTTATCTAAATTACACAATAAAAACAAAAAAAAAATACTGTTTTATATTTCAATACAATATAGAAAAAGTAACAAAAATATTGTTGTTTTCTTGTTATTTTCTAAAAATCTATTTTTATCACAATAAACATGTTTGTCTTCTTTGGTTTTTTTTTTAATAATCAATATTCGTCATATGAATTAAACGATTACTATCATTATTATCATCATAGTTATCTGATTTTTCACTATCATTGTTATAATCACTTTCATATAAGATAGTTGATGATTGTTGTAAAGATGTTTGTATAAGTGCCCAATCTTCAATAATATTCATATCAGATAATTGATAAAAAATAGCTAAATTATCTTTTTCATTTGTTTTCTTTGTACTATTTAAACGTCGTTTTTTTGTATTTTGTTTTATTGTTTCTAAATTATCAAAACGTTTTTTATTTGTTGATATTGTTTGTAATTGTTGTTGTTGTTGTTGTTCAGATGGTAAAATTTCTTGTAAAATATTTGCACATACTTGTGTTTTCATTTTTAATGTTTCAAGTTCATGAATTTTCTGTTCAATATCTTCACGTATATTATAATGTAAAAGAAATTTATCATTTTCTAATGTTTGTTCTAAACTTAATAATTCAGATTCCGTTGAATTTTCTAATGCTTGTAATTCAATATGTCGTCTTTGTTTAGCTATTTCTAAATCAATTTTCATTTCATCATAAAGTTTTTTTAATTCATTTTGATATTCAGGTGCTTCTTCATTTTGTATAGATAGTAATTTTCTATCAATTAATAAAACACTTTCTTCATATAAAATATTTTTTAATTCATCAAATTGTTTTTCAATATTCATTATTTCATACATTATTTCATAACGACGTGAATCAAAATATTCAATAGATGATATTGAACAATCATGTTTACCAAATGTTTGAAGAATATGTTGAACTTCATCTATTGAATCAAGACAATCATCATCAATATCATCATCATCATCAACGGTAATATCATCTAAATCAGAATTTGATAAACTTATTTGTCGTGTTGAAGTTAATCCTTCGATTAATGTATTCGGTGAAATTATTTGATCATCATTTTGATTCATTGTTACTTGATGATTTGTTTTGTTGTTAACATGAGTACAATTTTTTTTTAAGCGAAAAAAAAAGTATTCTTCCTATTGAATTAAATTTATAACCAATTAATAAAGAATAATGAAAGTGACATCTTTTGTTTTAAAAAAACGTTCCATGTTTATTATTGAATTACTGTTAGAAAAAGATTGATTGAGATTTTTTTTTTATTAAAAATTGAACTATTAGAAACAAAATGTAGCATAAAGTTAAGAAAAAAAATAATCAATAAACAGAACAAAAAAGGTTCCGGTGCCGGGGATCGAACCCGGGCCTAGACGGTGAGAGCGTCCAATCCTAACCACTAGACCACACCGGATTGTAGTTCTTTGTTCTTAAATATCTAATCATGATTTTTTTCTTATAGTTGTTTATCGAAATATCACATTCGAGCAAATGTACTGATTGGCCTGTCAATGAGTGATGATTATCAATATTCTAGACGTTTGTCACATGAAGTTATAATCAATAAAAACAAACTGCTATGACGATCTTCGATTATGATAACATGATGTAATGATAACTAAAAAATATTCATTTCTCTTTTATTTTCAGATTCTTTTCTGATGTCGTCGCTAAAAGTATCACCTTCTGATGAATATATTCTACCATCATTAGTAAATGTTAAATTTTCTCGTATTGCACTTACACCTATTGGACAAAGATCAACAGAAGTTTGTTTAAATTCTTCTATATTCTAGAATATTTTCTTTGTTTGATTTGTTTTTTTTTCTAGTTAGTCTATTTTAATCATGAAGAAGACATTGGACTAGCAGTAGAAACAATTTTTCAAAATAAAATATTTGATTTACCATCACCAAAACTTATTATTGTACTTGAAGGTGGTCTTAACAGTTGTAGTGAACGATTAAATGATTTTAATGAAAAACAATTTTCAAAATTAGTTGCAAAATTACTTTTAGATATTGGTATATAGTATTTTATTTGAATACATTTAGAATCTCTTTTTTTTTGCTTTTTGCTTTTTGATTTTAGGACAAAATAAATTACGTGATAATCAAGGTGCTGCATGGTTATTTTGTAAACTTCGACATGTATGAAAAAAAGAAACGATATTTTGAATTTTATCTATTATATGTTTATTTTTAGGATACAGTTGCTGGACATATTATTCAAACAACAAGAAGACAATATTTAGCTAATGATATACCTTTATCACAATTTGTTACAATTGGTGTTGATGTTTGTCCTTCAATACAGGTAAAAATTCTTTATAGAATTATTCAAAATAAAACAAAAGTTTTCTTTTTTTCTTTTTGTTTCGTTTGAGTTTAGTTAGAAGATGCTCCATATAATTATCAATCACTTGTTGATGCTCTTTCAAATACTTCTCAAGATAATACAAAAATTGAAACAATTACAAGTTATAATCGTATATTAAATAAACGATTATCACGTATTATTTTATATGGAAGAAAAGATCAAGATTTAGTTGATCAACGTTATCTATTACAACGATGTGTAGATGAAATTGGACGAATTCGAGATAATGATAAAAGTGAATGTGGTAAATTTAAAATCTTTTTTTTTTTGCTTTTTTATGTTTAATGAAATAAAAATTTCTTTAATCATTTATAGTTAGTATACCGAAAATAATGTTACTTTATGGTGGTGATACAAATAATATTGAACCAATTCATAGATTATTGAATGCTGATCTTGATCGAAGAAAATTTGGCTTGGTTATTATGAGAGTATGTAAAAACAAACAAAAAAAATAATAAAATTTTGCAATGAACTCAAACTGAAATTATTAGTGTCTTTAGAATAGAAAACTTGGTTTTTATTGCGTTATTAGTTTGTTATCTAGCATGCCTTGAAATAGACTGTCCAACTTAGCTCTGAGAGATTTTTCTTCGGACAGGATGGGTCTAAATTTCTATCGAGCCGTCCGATCTGAACTTCGTGGAAGATTTCCTACATAAGAAAATAGAGAAAAAAAAATTGATTTTACTAGATTTTTTTTTGTAACTAAATATCGATTAAAATCTGATTTTTTAACTTTGAAGATATATTTCATTTGATTTTTATCTTTCTTTAAGCAACTTAAAAAAAGAAAAGTGGTTTTTAACGATAAAACTTTATTAATGAATTTAAATATGACTAAAATCAATTTCAATTAGGGTTAAATAGTGTGATTTAAATCGATTTTATTAAGATTTTTCCACATCGGTTGACGACATTCAAAAATTCCTGAACCATAGTTTCAAAGATGATGTTTTTTTTATACTGAGAATTCGTTGTTCTGCCAATTATGACAAATCTGCTTAGTTTTGATAGCTCTGTCGGAGGCTATTGTTAGATTTCATCGAATCTAAAACAAGAGTTTCAGATCGAGTAATCAAAACTAAACAGAACTGTCATAAACAATTACCAGGGCAATTGGTTCTCAATACTAAAAAGTGTTATCTTTGAAATCACGCTCCAAGAATTGGTGCATTCTTAATGGGTTATACATTTCGCAACTGATAATAATGAGAAACCTTTATTATATAAAGTTTTTTGTAAGCTTCATTTATTGAAGAAGTAAAAGCGAGCACTTACTCAGTTCGATGACATTTATCATTCACACACAAAGTTCGATGCATTATCAACTGTACTAAATGACATGAGTGTTACTGAACTGGAACAGTGTTAACTGTGTACTAAAAATAATAACCGATCTGACTCTTTGAAATTAATCAGCAAGTATTTTACTCATGAAATCTTTCTGTTAATAAATGATAGTCTTCAAGAAATTTGCAGTACCCACGAATGTATTTTGCTCTTTCGGTTCAATCAGTAATTCAATTTATCCTTTATGCTGTTTTTTTTCAAGCATTTAAATTTTCTGATCTTATCTAACTCGTGATCATTATAATAATACATTTTTTTACAATGTTTTCATAAATGATTACAATGATTGTGAAGTTCTATCGTATAGAAATTCTTTCTGTAAAAGAAATATACTTTTAATAGTACCATTCTGAGCTGAACTGAGTCGACCGGACAGGTACAAACAATTCCTGATCCGTTACGGATCAAGCTTGAGTAATCAAAAATTAACCTAATTGCAAGGCCGATTGTTAACTATGCATGGAACTCTGAATATAAATTAATATCGGCTATATAGTGCATTTATATATTAGATATATGATAATAGTAGAAAATGAATTTAAGTGTAAATAAGAAAATATTGGTTTTTATTGTTAGGGTTCTGGTGGATTAGCTGATATTCTTGCTTGGGCTTGTGATAAGATTCGCAGTGGTGGAACATGTGTACAGAGTTTCGAACAGAAGTAAGTTGACAAAAATATAATTAAGCAAAAGAAGAAATGAATATATTTTCTATAAAAAAAATAAAACTTTATTTAAGAATATTAACAAAAACATTTTTTCGAGAATTAAAAGTTCTTGTTAATCAATTACTTGGTGATGAGTTAACTAATGATTTAATAATATTAGTTACTTATTTGGCAATAACTCGATGTAAAAAAGTACGTGTTTGTGATGAAGATGATGATCTTTCTTTATATCTTCTTGAAGCATTAGTAACAGGTTAATATTTTTTATTGTTTTATTTAAAATTTCTTTTTCTTTTTCTTTTTTTTGTTTTTTTCTCTTTATAGAAAATCAAAGTCAACGTTTATCATCATTGAAATTACATTTATCATTAGCTTTTGATTTAAATCAACCAAAATTTGCTAGTCGAATGTTACGTGCAAATCAAGATATGTTAGAAGAAGTAAAATATTAAAATATTCAATGCAGTGTGAAGCATAAAATTTCTCTAGTCGGTCACGTACACGCTCAGTCTTCATACTTTACATATTTTTTTTACTATAATTAAGAGCTGTACTTTGTGTTGCGATGACATAGAGAACGAAATGTTAATTGAAATACTAGTTCAAGCGTGACGATGAAATTTTATGATCGTATCTATACTACTCATTTTCAAATCTTCAACAAGACGTTTCATTTTCTTAAAGAAAGTCACTCAAAAAGGCAAATTTTTGTGGATTTAGCTTTTCTCTTTCAACTTTCGAAACAATTAAAATGATGACAAGTTGATTTTTGTTCATAAAAGCTTTATGAATAGCTGAAAATAGATAACGAGTCATATAGATAATTAAGCAATAAATCCACAGCGTCTACTAAAAACATGTTGGTACACCTTAATAGAATTTTCGTTATAATGAATTTTGACATGTCTGCTTTATTATTTCTTTTATACTTCGATTATTAGATAAGTCGAGTTTTCAATAAGAGCGACACGAAAGGAAATGATTACTGTAAATTGTGAATATCTTGGGCGATTCCATTGTAAAAACGATTATTCGTTTTTTTGTATGATATATTCATTTTTTTGATGATTGACATTCATAGCTTCGCACAGCATTTCGCAATCGAGTGAAACTCGAAATGCCATCTAATTTTCTTTTATAATAAAATAATGAATAAAAATTCTTTATAGGATTTAATACAATTAGCTAAAATGGCAATTATACGAGATCAAGTAGAATTTCTTCATGTATTAGAAGATACTTGTGGCATAACATCAGATAATCTTGGAGAAAAATTTGAATATGAATTAAGTTCAAAAATGGTTAGAAGAAAAAGAAAAAAAAAGATTTTCTTTGTAAAATTAAATTAATTTTTTTTTCTTCTAGAATTATAATCATGATTTATTTCTTGAACGTATTCAAAAAGATTTTGGATGTAATCTTGAAGATGTTTATCGATCAGTAAATTAAATTCGAATAATAAAGAGATAAGTATAAATTTAAAATTTTTGTTTAGCCTGATGAACATAATGAAACAGCAGGAGATGAAATGCAATTAATTAATGTTAAATTATTTTTATGGGCAGTATTTTTTGATCATTATAATTTATCATTACATTTTTGGAGACGTCTCAATGTAAGTATTAAATTATAGTTCGTAACAAGACAATGAAAACATTTTATCTTAA